CTCGTTCTGGCATGGCTAGACGCATTTCATACCAGCCCTGGTTTTGCCAGTGGCCGCGACTGCCTGGGACAGCAGATAAGGGTTCTGCGAACAAAGAATCCCTCATACGGTTGCCTTCTGCATTTTACAACAACTTGGAGTTTTACCTTATAAATGTAGGGATGTGAGCACGGTCAATACATAGACCGCTACAGTACTTGTGTTGTGAGGAACGCCTCTGTCTAGATACTCAACGAAAGGCTACATATTTTATAGATTAAACGTCAGAAAAGGACATATGAGAGACATCAAACCTATCAATGATCGCATGCAGACAACGCGAGTTGACATCACGTTTAATGGCATTAAACGTTCTAATACAAAATGCAAACAACTGTAAAAAAGACAAAACTTCAGCTTTTTAATCTCCTGAGAAATTAATTTCTGTTCGCGGTATGTATCAGTATATTTAAGGGCTATAGGCGTAGACCGAAAGTGTAAGGGTATCTCTGTGTTGAAACCCGTCAACCCCTGTGAAATATAATCTGCTGCCATCGGACAGTCTTTAAAAGTATAATTTATTAAATTAATTAAATCTCCAGGCAAGTTTGCATCGACTTCAGTAATGGTCGTGCCACTGGCTCATGCCATTCAATGTGGCCAAATGCAACTGCGCCTCGGAGGGTGTATTACCTAAATCACAAGCTGCTGCCAGAGGTAGAGGTTCAAAAGGATCTGGGGGTGCGGAGCACGCCTTCACTTAAGCCATCAAGTGCGCCTTTGCTAAGTTTGATAAAGTGGTCTTTGGCAAGGCCTTCGGCACGTTCGTGCGACCCCAACTGGAATGTGCCATCTAAGCCTGGAGACCTTGGACAAACAAAGACCAAAAAACCCTTGAAAAAGTACAAAGACGCGCAATAAAATTAGGACAAGGCCATCGGAACCCACCTTATGAGACTCGCTTGGTAAATCTTGACTTGTTTCCTCTGGATTACAGTCAGCTACTCGGTGACCTAATACAGGCATTCCGCATGCCGCGCGGCCTCAAAACAAATGACTTCTTTGAGCAGGCCACCACCACAAGGCTGCGAGGAGAGCCCGTC